GAACTCGCATAAAACGGTACTTTGGGATGATTGTTGAAACTCCTCTGAACAGTGTAACAAGATTAGCCCTACGTGTGTAACATATATAAATTTGGTTGTTCGCGATTACTTTAAAGTTGAGTTTGTGTTGTTTTCTCGAATTTTCACCGGCTCGACCAGCGTTCCACAGCAGCGCGCACAGAGCCCATAGAAATGCATGGTACAGTGGTGCGCGTCTTAGCAACGTGTAACGTCTGTGACGTAGCCCGCCCCCGAGGGTACACAGTTGGCCTTACTTGACTAAAAGATCGGCATCGGGAAACAAATCGTCACTGTACTCTGTGAACAGGAGAGGATTCTCCTCGTCGTCATTGAGCAGCGAGTTCCAGTCGTGTCTCATGTTGAAATCAGGTTCTGGGAAGACGTTGTATTTCTTGTTAATTGATATGAGAGTACGATGGCGTGGATATGTTCGGAAAAATGAACCAGGTCCGTCATTTCGTTCCACAACGAGGTAGTCCATGTTGGACTTCTCCATATAGTACGCCATCTGCACCCCAGCTGGTCCAGCGCCAATAACGATATATTCATAGTCTAGAAAAAAAATAAGCGTTTTGAATAAGAACGTGTTGCATATTACATAAACTACAAGTCGTTTGGACCCCTCACCGTTTGGACCCCTGGACGATTAGACCCATCGACGTTTCTACTAATATGCCATAAAAGTCGATGCCACTCAGAGACAATCTGGGACTAATTTAGAAAATGCGTTTCACGTCTTTACGTGATATAGTTCAAAAGTAGAAATAACAGAAAAACTTAGTGAACAAGAGTGTGACGTTTTTGGGACTATTTTATTGAATGCGTCAAAATACATACTTTTGTAATGGTGTTATATGTCACCTGATCACCCAAGTGTATTGATATGTAAAAAGTAGTGCCGTTGGTGTAACTGACTCTTTGATTTGCGGGCGATTTCTTGCACATGTTTTTGTATCACATTCAAATACGTATGATTAATTGAATCTAGTAGATAAAAAAACCACACACAAGGACATACATACTAGTAATCAAAATAAAAAAAGTTATATACTGTAGAAGAATTTATTTTCACTCTGTTTTAATTTCACAAATTTGTCAAGGAAACGATGAGTTTTATTGTTATTCTACATATTCAGATTTAATTTAGCGGATTTTATTTATCAGCGAAAATAGCGACATTAAAACCCAGTGAATAATTAATGCATTTACAGTATGTATATTATATCATGCAGTTGTAACCACGAAGGTACGTATTTAAATAGCCCCTTTAAATCACGCGTCACTCGAACATATCTACTTGTATTTAACGGTTATACTTACGTGTTTTGGGGGTTGCCGTTGCCATCTTGATAAATTCTGCAGAAAAAAAGCACAGACGAAGGTGTAAAGAACAATTAAAAACAAAACGCTATTATGTCGCGCGACGAACAACTACATTGTTAGGTTACAATAGGAAACACACTGAACGTTTCCTGTGTGAAGTTATCTCCCTGTGTTCAAGTTCAAGGGTGTTCAGTATATGCATTCTCTAAGACAGACCGGAAACGAGACAAAAACAACAAATTTTTCAAGTTAGCGTGGGGGAAATAACGTTGCTAAGTATTATCGTCAGGGTTGCTGGCAATTGGTTGCTGGCAATGTTTGGGGGATTTTGACCAGTTTGTGATGTAGGCTTGTCTTAGAGAATGCTCAGACTACTGAATATATTACTAGTAATAGTTTGAAATCCATGGAAAGTAATTATTTTCCTTGCTAAATGTTCCGAACTAGTAAAAACGAACATTTGTATACTGCCCTGTGAATGAATAAATGTCATTATTTGTTGCTCCGTCATTTTAAAGTTTAGATAATAAGCTAACGGTCTTACCACAGTCACTCTCTTAGTAGAGTGACTGTGGTCTTACTAATATCAGGGTCGTTTTTAAAGCAGTTTATGCTGCAATTACGTAAGTCGTTCTTTGCGAAACTAAATCAATATACAATAGTACACAGACAATTTTAACAGAAAACGTGTATATGAGAGATATTATTCTTACCGTAATAAATTGACGAAGATGATAGGTAACGAA